AAATGCCTTCAAACCCACCTTTGCCTTTGATACTGGACGCTCTCAGAATCAGAATGGAGTCAAAGAGAGATTCCAGAAAAGTAAAGCAATGCTTTGTTTACAAATTACATCATCAGGCAAATCACTGTGAATCTTCATGGAGATAGTACTATTCTAGAATACAAGGAGCCCAGGTGGGGTGATGGGTGGCTAAGCACTTAGCAGTGAATCCAAAGCCTGGCCATTCGAGTCCACCACGGGATGAAAGCATGACCGTCTGCTCTCCCTTTGGGGCTGTTCTACTCTGGGCCCAGGGTCACTATGAGTCAGAATTAAATTGAAGACGGTGGGTTCATTTCAAAATATATCAAGAGAGTGGAAACAATAGACTTGCAACTTAGTACAACTCTAGAAAAGTGTGCACACTAGGCCCTCCTACTGAACGCCTACAGTTGTTGTTGCTTTTATTAGTTGCCACCAAGTCAATTCCAATGCATGGGGACTTCAGTACAACTGCCCAAGGCTCAGTGTTTTCCTGGCTGTGACCTTTCAGAATCACAGGTATGACAGGTCTCTGGGTCAGATTCAACCGCCAACATTTTGACTAGGAGCTGAACTCATAGCAAGCAGTTTGTGCCACATTAAGCATTTCATGGTACTTTTAAAAAAAATTTGTAGTTTTAACAAGTACACTGGTGCCTTGGCTTCCATCAATATACATAAGCGAAGAGCCAAGGCACCTGTGTCCTCAGAAGACTTTTAAAGGACAAGGCCCCAGATGGGGTGCTATAGAGGCAGGCACCTGGGCTACGAGTCTACACTTAACAGCTGTATCCCAACCCACTCTGCAGTTTTGACAAACATTTCCACCAAATTAAGTATGCATTGTATGGGTGTCAACTCACTTGTTTACCAAGCTCTATACAACTAGTTTAGAAAAGAAAAAGAGGCCGTAATCCCACTAACAGTCAAATTAAATGACACGTCCACTCTCAGGAGGAAGGAAATAGCAACCTATTTAACACTGATGTTGGAAAATTGCTTCTCTCCGGAGTAAATGCGAGTCTCAGATGTACATTAGATGAAAAGACCAAAAAAAAAAAAAAACGGATCTTGGGAAGGGAAAGCGTTTTCTTCACATGTTGGACGGAGTCTACCCGACTTATTGCTCATAGTTTTGCCTTTGCAAGCATAATTGCAGCTGAACAGTCACGAGGAACTGCGTGGTGGCTTATCTTCTGCACAGCATTACTCACCTTCAGGTCCCGATGGACTACGCCCATCTGATGGCAGTGGAGCACAGCCTCCAGGATCTGCTGAATGCAATGACTGCATGCAAACACCGGGGGGCGCGTGTTAGTTCCAAGCTGACACTCACTGTCTGTACACCCGCAGAGAGACCGGGTCAGGGTGCCAAAGCAGCACAACTGGGGACGCTTCCTACCACCTCCAGGAACGCGCACACAGTGCCCAAGCCAGCGAACACGGCCTCCGTGCAATCAAGGTCCTGCCAGAATCTGGCCTCCGCTTGTTCTCGGAAAACCCAATTTGACAGTATCGCACTTAATTTAGATTTCCTGGTGATAAATTCTTGGGAAACAGATTGGAACACAGAATATCAGTGTGTTTTTTAGCTTGCGGTTCTCCAGCCACTACCCCACCCCCACCCAAATCACGAAACCGAGTTTGTCAGTGCTCTCCCATGGCTTTAGTGCGGTTTCACACGCTGTCACATTAGCAGCAAGGCACCATTAAGGTTAATTTAGGATACGTAATGAATTTTTGATAAATCATTAACTTCGTGTGCTTTAATTTAGCTGGCAATTATTGTCTCTTGCCTGAGGCGCCGTCGGACTCAAATGGAGCAATGTGTAACCAGTTGTGCTGCTACAGAAAACCCACGGTCTCAGAACAGAAGTGGTGTTTACATCTACAGGCGAACACACATCACAGGCCAAGTTTGTCTCCAGGCAAAAATGCTGGATCCCCAGGAAAGGCCGCCCCCAGACCGCCTCTGGAGTTCGATGGTTTGGAGCGTCCACTCTTTTTGCCGTGATGTGTATGTAGCCTGCAGAGGAGCAAACCGAATGCGGCATCATGCATTATCATTTCTGCATTTAGTTGTTTATGGAAAAGTTGAAAAAGCCACGGGGGCTGTTTTCATGACCCACCCTCTGCCCTTTCCGCGGGGGAAAAAAACACACAAAACAGCACTCCTTTGATTCAGATGCATGGACTCCATATACTGACCTTCAGGTCCCTGTGAACTATGCCATTTAGGTGACAATGACTGACACTTTCTAGAATCTGCTGTATACAATGACTGCAAAGATACAAGGGCAGAGTGGAAGGGAGAACATTTTAAAGGCACATCATCACATTGGATACAAAATAAAATGAGAGAGTTCCAAACAAAACGAACGGACAAAAATCATACCATCCACACAATGTTAGCTTTACACTGGAACTCACTGTTGCGGAATAAAGCTAATTCTGGTTCTACAAAAAATGACACTGAACACAGCACTTGTGACATGTTCAGATAAAACAATTTGAGGTGTGTCTTCCCATGCCGGGTCTACAAGTCAAATTGTATGTGGAGAGAATTTGAAATTTCCACACGCAGAGAGAAAAACTGACAAGCGATTCCCATAATCATCTGAAAAGATGTCCTTAGAGTGGTGAGCATCATCGCTATTTCTTATACACATCTAAACTGTTTAAAATCTGAGGTCACAATGAAACACAGGCATTGAAACGAGAGGGTCAATAAACACAGATGAAGAGGCAGGTGAGACAAGAATTAAAAATAAAAAATGGAGGGACACATTTACCATTTTGACTTAGAAGTGATGCTTCTTAAACAAACCATTAGAGTTAAGTCCCCAATAACAGAGGGAGAGCGTCAAGGGAACCCGTAGCATAAAACACAACCCACTTCAGTACAGAGATACTCTGGTGAAGGGCTTGAAATCTTCTAATAAATGACATTTTCAAATCTTCACAAGCACCAGTGATGGTAAAACACATTCCTATCTATTTCAAATGAGGAAAACCTTTGCCTATTACTGTAACACGTAACACATACTATTTTTACAAAAGTCTCCCTGACGTCCAAAAGACTGCTAATTAAATTTGAGCAGAGAGGCCGCTGATTGACCCCTCTAAGGTCCCAAGCGCTGTCATCTGACACACAGTAATGTAGAACACACCACACTGATGAATTTGAGACAAATTCACTGTGCACTTCAAATGCAGGCATGTACACAAATACAGTCATTTGCTTAACAATTCGGCAAGCATTTTAATAAGGACGTTTCCGACCACTGAAGGCACAAAGTAATATTCTTCCAAAGTAAATTCCCGAACTTAAAAAGGAATCATCAGGCTTATGGCCATGTCAATGTCCAAACAGTGACAAGGGAGCCTTTCCAGCTCCAACTCCATTCACCGTGCCACCAACCAGCTGCACGCTGCCTGTTTCTGACTGAAAGGCTTATTTGAGAGTTGGTAATTATTTTTTTAAAATTCCCATTACTCTTTGTCTTCCACAATGGTGCTTATTTTGAATGACTGTTTAGAGATAGTTCTCTTTCTCATCTGTAACCATCTCTTTCTCATCTCCGTTCCTGAACCATCTTCCACAAACTTTGCTGGTTTTTTAAAAAATCATTATTAGTGAACAAGGGTTCAATTCTTTTTGAGAGTTAGGAAGAAAAATGACATAAAGAGACTCTCTGAGGAATGTCCCCTCTCTATGCTTGCCGTTGGGAAAAGAATGTTTCGTCTTGCTTTTGAGCAGAACCTACGCTAAAATATGTCCTATGATTAAGTTCCACACATATTATAAGAATGCATACTAAGAGGAACATCCCATACAGTCTATCTTATCATAAAGTATATCTTACAACTGTGAGCACTGTCTCTGTTTTCATCCAACCCGCTATCTTCGACTGTCACAATGGTCTGTTTATTGTTACTTCGAAAGGTAAAATAACAATTAGTTCCCTGACTTCTTTTACTTCCTGGATCAAAAAATATCACTGCCACTTGGAAAGTAGCTACTTCCAACGGTGTTCTGAAATGCCTAATGTGAGGACTTACGGGTAAATGGAACAAGCGAGGGACCATTATCATCGTGGGAGTACAAGGGGGCTTTTGATGTGACTGGTAGTAAAAATTCCATGACAAATTAAAGTAGTCATGTACAAGTAGGCTCAAAGAATGTCTTAAACAATGGCATTAAACCAAAGAAATAAATTAGAAATAGGGAAGTATGCCACTGGATAGATGAAGGTATGATTGGGGCGGGGAGCAGGGCTCCCTGTCAGTTGGATATTTGCTGAGGAACAGAGAACAGCACAGACTGACCAACCCTCGGACGTTCTGAAAACACTGCAAGATGAAGGCAGACCATCCCTGTGCATTTTCTTCACATTTTATTCACATTGGAGCCAGTCAAGCACAACCAGATAAGCAGATTTTTCAAAGCCAAATGCAGACTATTTGGAGTCCCTGGGTCATGCAAATGGCTTACTTTCTGGGTCATTAACCCAAAAGTTGGAGGTCTGAGTCAACGCCGAGACAGGACTGAGAAAGTTGCAGGGACCCAAGGCTTCAGTCATTGACATCAGCCGGTGCGTAACTACTGCACCATCAGGATCTCTGTTTTAATTATCGCACTCCCCAAACATTACTTTTCTGTAGTCTTAGAACGTTCTAATTTAGATGGAATGTTAGCCTGATTCCACTCTGAAACACACGATGAGACGAACCCCACAACTTGTTTGCTTCCTTTTTTATAGAACATATATAAGGAATGCTGATGGAAATTAGAATCACGTAGTCTCAATGATATCTGAGCAAATGGCCTTATGCAGCACTGCTGTTGATTCTCATTCATAGGACAAGGTAAAACTTGCCCACGTGTTTCTGAGACAGGAAACCTTCATGGAAATCCACTGCCATATATTTCTCCCATGGAGCCTGATGGGTTGCAACTGCCAGCCTCTTGGTTAGCAACTGAATGCTTTAAACACCAGGGCTTCTGGATGAATTACTTCCATTCAAAAGCATTCCCTTGGCATGGCCTTAGGTAGTTCCAATGCAGACAAAATGTGAGCCTGCTTAAACTTCTGCAATGTCTTTGCCAATGACAAACTGGTGGTAAATCACTATACCTTGGCCTTCCGAGACGCATGGATAAGTACTTTCCAAGTCAGAGTTCCAAGAGTTTTAACGAAATTTCCAAAGTGTTAAACAATTCATCATCACAGTCTAGGGAGACCACTGTGGCGTTTCCAGCCGTCTCTGAAAGACCACCAGTGGACAAGGAAGCTTTCTGTAAGGGTGGAAACTTTCTCCATGTGCCCTGTCCAGTTGGTAGCCAGCAGCCATTCAGGCTAATAATCACTGGAAAGGTGCCCAGGTCAACGGGGTAAATTAATATTTAATTTCATTAATCGAAATTTAAATTGCCACACACGACTAGGGCTAGGGACCTTTGGTTTTTGGCTAAAAACTATATATATATTTTTAGCAGAAGTTCTTTGTAAGGCTCCTTGTTCCCCTTCACTTTTTATAAAAAGATGAAAATTCTAAATATTGAATAAAAATAAAATTTAGACCATGTTCATTGATTTTCCTTTATCCCTCTCAAAAGAATCCTGATGATCCTCCTGGGTGGCGGGGGGTGGTGGCTAGGGGAATACCAATTAAGATCGACTGCTCATGAAGAGAAGTCTGAGATGGTATAATGGGATCCTCATAACACTACAGTGGCATAATTCACTTGGAAAAAAGGACAACGAGTAAGTGCCACCCGGATGTTGAGTCTCGGACCTTGTCCAGGGCAAGTCACTTACCTGGCATCGGCTTCACTGTAATATTCTCTTGCCACTATGTCTTCAAACAGCTCACCTCCAGTGACTCTGTAAAGACAAATATGGTTTCCACATTAAAAAAAAAGAAAAGGAAATTTGATGTCTTAGGCTTGCCCAGCTGGCTTAGTGGTTACACGCTGGGCTGTGATCCATGTGGTTGGCAGTTCGAAACCACCAGCAGCTCCGAGGGAGAAAGACTGGGCTTTCTATTCCCACAAACAGTCACAGTCTGGGAAACCCACTAGGGGGTCACAATGCGTTAGCATCGACCAGATGGCAGCGAGGCTGGCAACTGTTGCTGGTGACTGTCATTGAGTAGAACTCCTCCAGAGGGTGTTCAAGATGGTCAGGCCTGTCTTCTGACACGCCTCGGGGTGGCTTTGAACTGCCCATCCTTTACCACCTAACCAAGGGTTAAGCCATTTTTATCACCCATAGAGTAGGTTTCTGAAATAATTTTTGTTCTCATTAGATTCATTTAAAAATTATTATCAGAACATCAGGTATTAATAGATCATGAGACTTACGGTTTCGCAATATTCTAACCTGTGCTAGTCTATCTTTTCTATTTCTTTTTGTATCATTAGGTGCTAAAGACGTAATTTTCTATTGTCATAACTATAGTCAATAATCTCTCTTGCAGTTTCTATGAAAGCCTTCATTTCAATTCTCCAAATATCATTTGGGAGCAACACAATGTGTGGAAGAGTTTGGAAGCACTTTCTGACCCGAGAGAGAAGGTGATCCTTCTGAGAGCCACTGAGTGTGAGTCTGTGGGCAAGAGCTCTCCGGAAGGTCATCTTCTAGATTTCCCTGAAAATGTAGTATGGGCTAGAAGTGGTTCTGGAAAATAGCGATCGCTTTTGTACTATGGCCTCAATTTCCTGTAGGTGCCTTTCTTTGTCAGTGGTTGAAGAACTTGGTTAGTTGGTAATATCCTTAAAGGCACAAGTGAGACCTTCGCTCCTTGGACAGGCCCTGTCCACCTGCCTTCTTTAATGGAGACTTTCCCACAATGCAGCAGTGGCTCTGTTAACTTGGGATGCCCGTTCAAACCCCGAGTTTTCCGATTCGCTGAAGAGGAAATTGGAGTCATCTTTAGAAGTTATTTTTTCTCCTGCTATAAAAAGTGGATGGCTCTTTTGCTAGAATTTCTTAACCAGTGATTTTTCTGCTTCAGGATTAAAACATACAAAGAAATAAATAAGAAACTTGGGTTTTTTTGTTTGTTTGCTTTGTAAGTTTCAAAGTAATATAGTTTTAGAGTAAGGAAGCTCTGCTTCTCCTCTCATTGTCTCTCCAGCGATCACTCCTTGGCTCCTTGGCCTCTTGGCCAACCTGGCATCTGCACTATTTAGGCAAAAGGTACAAGGCTCTTTCGCTTTACTGCTAAGTAGCCAAATGTGCCCTATTTCCCCCACAAAAGCCTTAACCTGAAGGTGCACAGCAACCTTATTCTATGGGTGGGGACGCTTAACTCCTTTCAACAAGTGCCTGCAGGTACCCCCATGATACCAGACAGTTTCCATGGGGGTCTGTTTTGTGCTGGTCTCCTGTTTCTGCTGCCTCTGTATTCTAATACAACTTCTTGCCTTACTCACTTCCTTCTGAGCCTTTGCCACCTGTCCTTGCATGGGACGCCTCTGCTCATTATTCATTTAGGATGCATTCTTCTGGGTATGGCTTTGCCCACTCAGCATAACACTTTCTTAGTTTCATCCACATTGTGGCCTGTATTCATCATTTCATCTGTGAATTCAGTCGCTTCAGAAGGTCAATGGTTCAAACCAACCAGCCACTCTCAGGGGGGAAAGCACTGGTGATCTGTGCCAATAAGGAAAACTCCCCAGGTAAGTTGTATTCTGTCCTATGCAGCTGCACTGACTTGATGGAACAAAGCAAGAATTCTGTCTCATGAGTATACCGTGGTTTGTTCAGCCATTGCCCTGTGGAGGCCATGCACGTGAATTTCTTAAAGGGTTCATAGGTACAGAATATTAAAAGTCAGGGGGTCACACATTCTGGAAATTTTCAAAGAACTATACTAACTATTAAACAAATTTAAGGAGTATAGAGTTTCAGGTTGTGTATTAAACTCTAGCAATTATTCTTCTGATGATTTAAAGACATTCATAGGTAAATGAAACAATTTCAACCCTTTGGAGATGACATATGGTAAATATCTAGGGTGAAAATAAAGTGGAGTTCTAATAAAACCATACCATCTTAAAAGCGAAACTATTGAATTTGCCAACTTTAACACATTTTGATACTTATATTACTGCTTAGGAGGACACAAAATTAAGTGGTATTTATTAGTCTTTGAAAAATTTTATTGTGCTCTCACACAATTCAGACAAAACCACAAATTAAATCAGTCTCATGAATAAAACTGATACATTAGTTAATTATGTAATTAAAGACTGAGTAAATTGGTGTCAGAGTTCTGTTATGATATCAGGCATATCAATTTCAGGTTTCAAAACTTAATTACCACTTATAAATATCTAGAACTTGGAGTCTCACTGGCAAAAACAATTCTAGGACCATGAAACTATGATGTCCATGATTCAAAGAGATAAAGACTTTTGTTATTATTATTATTTACAAGGGTATTTATTCATACTGTATTACCCTGCATAATTATTTTTGTTTGTAGACTGCATATGTATATCCTTTCAGAAAAGAATAAAGATAACATCAATGTGAACAAAAACTGCAAATGTTAATGAAGAACATCGCTTTGATGACAAAGCTAAGAAGCCCTAGTGCGGTAACAGCTGCTCAGCAGTGGCCTGCCAACAAAACGTTGGGAGCATGGGCCCACTCAGCAGCTCTGGAGATGAGAGACCCTGCCATTGGCTTCTGTAAAGACTGCAGGAAGCACAAGCAAATGTGGTGAGGAAAGCGGATGGTGCCCGGCTATTAAAAGACATAGCAACTGAGGTCTTAAAGGCTCATAGTTAAACAAGGGGCCATCTACCAGGGAAGTAACAAAGCCCACGTAGAAGCAGCATGCCAGCCCATGTGATCATGAGGTATGAATGGGAGTAGCTTTCAGAAGGTCAAGAACAAGCAACAATCAACATGCGGGCACGTGGATGTAGTGGAGACCCCAAACTCACCTGTAAGATAATTGAAGGGCCACAAGAAAGGGATAATATATCCAGGACATGGTATGGCACCTAACTATAATAGTTATAAACACATAACTATTTTCTAGCTCTATAATATTTCCTCCCCCTACTGTTATGATTTCAGTTCTACCACATTAACCTTGTTAGGCTTGCGTATTGTCATTGGTAAAATTAAGATAGTCTGATGCATAAAAGTCAACATAAATAACCCCCCCCAGAAAAAGTAGCTGTAGTAACAGTCTCCTGAGGATACAGGAAGAGGAGGCGTGGGGAAGGGGGAGCTGATAGCAGTGATGACTATATAACCCCACTCTAGAATAGTGACTAACAGAATTGTAGACTTGTAGGTGAATGGATATATTAGATAGTGTAAGATATGGCAAATATGTATATATATAAATATAACGATGAGTTCAGGCTGAGGTGGGGGTGGAAGGAGGGGATAAAGAGGAACAGATATCAAGGAAGTCAAGAAGAAGGATAATGTTTTGGAACTGATTGTGGTAACAAGTGTAAAATACTGCTTGATGTGACTGAGCTAAGTGCTCCCAAATAAACAATTTTTAAAAAGAGAGAGATCACAGAATGGAAATTCTATGGGCTGTTCTCCTTTGTCCCAAGAAGTCTCAATGTGTCAGTCGCCATGAACTCAGGGGAACCCAACAATACCAGGCTTAAGAGTACAAGATTAGGCTTAAGAAGATAGCGTTCAACCTTAGCTCAATGACTTAGCTCACTGACAGTGGTGGGGGAACCCAGGGAACAATCCCATGTGGTCCAGTAGATAATGACTCATAGTGACCTTAAAGGACATAGTAAAATTGCCCCCATAGGGTTTCTCAAAAGGTAAATCCTTATTATTTTTATTTATTTTTAATTTTAATAAATCATTTTATTGGGGTCTCTTACAGCTCGTATTGAAATCTGCACATCAATTGTATCAAGCAGATTTGTATATGTCTTGCCATCATTTCCAAAACATTTTCTTTCTACTTGAGCCCTTAGTCTCAGCTCCTCTTTTTTCCCTTCCCTCCCCCACCCTCACTCATGTGAACCCATGATAATTGATACATTATTTTTATTTTCATATTTTACACCTTAATGCTGTCTCCCTTCAACCATGTTTCTGGTGTTTATCCCCCTGGGGGAGGGGGCTTTGTTCATGATCATTGAGATTAGTTGCCCCTTTCTCCTCCTACCTTCCCCCTACCCTCCCTCATGGTATCACTACTCTCATTATTGGTCCTGAGGGGTTTATCTGTCCTGTATTCTGTGTGTTGAAGCCCTTATCTTTACCAGTGTACATGCTCCTGTCTAGCCAGATTTGTAAGATAGAACTGGGGTCATGATAGTGAGGGGCAGGGCATAAAAGAACTAGAGGAATGTTGTGTGTTTCATCAGTGCTATATGGCACCATGGCTGGCTTGTCCCTTCCTTGTGACCCTTCTGTGAGGGGATGTCCAATTGTCTACAGAAGGGCTTTAGTTCTACATTTCAACACCCCTTTTTCGCATTGAAATGGTTGTTTGTTTAGAGTCTTCTGGTGCCTGATCCCTGATCCTGTCAACATGCTGTGATCACACAGGCTGGTGTGCTTCTTCTATGTGGGCTTTGTTTCTTTCATGATAGATGGCCACTTATTTAACTTCAAACCTTTAAGACATCAGACACTGTATCTTATAATAGCCGGTCACCATCAGTTTTGTTCACCACATTAGCTTATGCACCCATTTTGTCTTCAGCAATCATGTTGGAAAGGTGAGCATCACAAAATGCCAGGTTATTGGAACAAAGTGTTCTTGTGTCGAGGGAGGACTTGAGTAGAGGCCCAATGCTGGCCTGCTCACTTAATACTTAACCTATAAATATATACACATAAACCTATATCCCTATCATTATGTATTGATATAT